TTCTGTCTAGTTCGATCCGTCTACCGCATCGATAATGAATGAATTAGAATGACTTTCCGCCTTCAACAATGCCCGTTATACCCCCCTCCTTATCTCCCGGGCAACTACCCCCCCCACCCCACCCCGCCGCTATCTGAGACAACACTAGATAAGAAAACGAGGCAGATATACACCTGGGCAATAGAGGCCATAACCCTGTCACGAATCCATGGAACGACGACTCTACGGTTTCATAGATTCCAGAGAAAACAACAAACAAATATGAGTGTCAGTCCGATTATCCAACCGCATGACGTCATCGCGCCCCTCTGATAGGCCTACCTGATCCCAACCGACCAAGATCCTGAGACGGACCGTGTCCGATTCGGTGCACGATCTCACTCGCGGCGACCGACCGACCCCCTGGCGCTGCATGTCGCTAGCTTCGGCTGCTTTTCTGGGTTAATGTGATGACTCCTCCCTCCTGGCTCTCCTCCCTGCTGACTGTACTCCCTGCTGATTGTTCTTCTTATTGACTGTACTCCATGTTAATTGTTCTTCCTGCATCACCCTTAATAAGATCTTATTTCCGGTCGAGTATCCCCAACCCCCTCCATCTGGCGCGATCCCTGTGACCTCCGCCCTTGACTGAAATGATGCATGGTGCTCCTAATCAAATCAAATATTCCTTTATTACAAATCTTAAACATCCTCGTTATCTTCATCGAAACCTTATCCATTACTGAGTATCAACGCCCGCATAGTAAGAAGCAGAAGAAGAAGAAGAAAAGAAAGAAAAAGAAAAAGAAAAGAAGAAGAAAAGCACATCATTTTTATCGCGGCTTTTGGACTATCAGTGCTTGTTCCAAACAAAGGGTACACGATTAGGCAATACACACGGACACAATGCACCGCGTCCGTGACTACCGGGTTGCGGATAGACTGCCCGTCACAGGACCGATTTCTGAAACCTAAAAGTATAAAAAAATTATAGAGCACATGAACCTTATTTTTTCCCAGTATCTGCAAGCGGTAGGATTGTTATTGTTGATATTGTTATTATTATTATAGCTTTTATTATCATTGCTATAACTATTAATACTGATACTGCAGCTGTTACTACTATTATTTTGGCTGTTGTCTCCTTTTATCATTACGTTTTACTATTGTAAGCGGAAGGACATCTGTTGGTATTAATGATATCATGGTGCCTACGGTGATAAAAAACGTCAATGATTATAACAATTATTACTACTATAAATATGCCGGTAATAAAAGAGATCTAATATCATAACGATAACTTTAGCCGCAACTGTCTTTTCTTCATGTATCGGATTTTTCCCTTTGTTACAGTTACTTCGGGCGTCATCCGGCAGAGGTTTCAGCTGGGCAGGAAAAGCTGATACTCCTATTCCTACTCCATACGAGAGCCGACCACGTGACGCAATCTGAGCGCCCTCAGTCGTACCTCAGCCGATGACAACGAGCTCAGAGGGTATCTCCCTGCCAATCAGGTGCCTCGCTGCTTATCTCTTGAGTGTTATCAATTCCAGAAAGAAAAAAAAAACATCTGCCTAATGGCCAATGTTCTTGTGTGTAGATGCGAGTAAAGATGAGTGCGTGTACTGCACAAGATTTTATTTCCACTTTGGCTGGCTGTTCTAATCTCTCCTCTTCCCTCCCCTTCTTCCGTCCTTCTTTCTCCAATCTCTCTCTCCGTCTCCTTCTCCTTCCTTTCGCTCTTACTCATTTCTTCAGATACAGTTAATAACAAGATGATATGCTTAAAATTCTCTCAAAGAAGGGAACTAATACACGAGATAAAAAAAATCGGAATAACGTTTCTATAATCACAATAAAACGAATAAATCTGGACTCGGAGATAATATCTGTCAATAATGTCAGGCTTATCAGAAACCTCTCTGCTAGCACTACACTTCGGAGAGGCAAATGACCCTAAGCATATTCAGCGGACATGATATAAAACAAATCAGTGCATATACATATTCATAAAACTATGAATACACAATACAAAAACACACACGATGACAGTACAGACATCTACATCATATAACAGTACCCATGTGCCCGAGTGCAGTGTGACAAAGAAAAACCTGCGAGCTAACGTAAGGTACATTCCACAGGTCACAAAAACATGGTAGCCCTGTAAGGTCAGCTGATAGCACTACCTTAATCTGTGGATACAGTCGTACGAGTCACACATATCTGCATAAATGTTTCTATGTACATGACCACAAAAATACACATGCACCCACGCAAGGCTACATTTGCATGCGTCGATTCTACGTTATCAATACTAATGCCAAGAATACTAAAATAATAAATTGAATGAATAAAACAACAATTAAACAACATCTCACTGTTAATCCAGGTTTCACTTACAAAAAAAAAATAATTGTATCTCATATAGGCGATTAAGCACAAAGAAAGCTGAAGAACGACAAATAAATAAGTAAGCAAATACATCAAGGATCCCAAGCATCAAAACAACTAAAATAAACAGAGAGAACTGAAAGAAAGGATTGCAATCCTTCCCCTGCCGGAATCCTTCACGTGTTA